TCCAAGGGATCTGTTCCTAAGCTCCCTCTTTAACCTCCAGTAACTAACCTATGTCTCACGTGTCCCTTTCTGTCTGTCCCTTATACCTATGAAGCTATTCTGATCCCAAGGACTTCAAGTGCCTGATCCTATCAGTTCAGAAGTGATTCCCTCAGAGACACTTTCTTTACCTGTGTAAATTAATTCCATCCCTACTCTAGTATACGTGTGTTGCTAGTATCTAAAATTATTCTATTTCTTTATTTACCCACAGTCTATAATTCCTTGTATAAGTCTCTTTCTCTGCTCTCCAATACCTAACACACCTTAAGTGCCCAATTTTTGAGGGCATCCAGGATAGGGCATGGGGCCTCAGGCAAGAGTTCTACCACTTGATTAGGAAAATTAAAAATAATTGTGGTGGTAAGGTGTAATGGTGGGAAGGTGTAATGGTGGTGGGATTGGTTTTGGAATATTGAATGTAAGAAATCATTGTGAACAACTTTATAAAAATAAAATTAAATTTTAAAAAAGAATTCTCCCACTGAGCTATATCTGTGATGTCTCCAATCATTTGTTTTGAATGAACAGATGAATGTCTTTACTCCAAATTGCTTTTCCTTCTTTTCGTCCCCCATTCTCACTCCACCAAAATGCCTTCTCCTTCAGAACGTGGATCTCATTTGGAAAATTATAGGGAGGCCTCCATAAATATTTGCTGAATGAACAAATAAAGCTAAAATGAGTTACACCAACAAAGAATGTTGGCCTCTTAATGCATAACTGTTCCCAGGAGTATTAGCATTCTCAAATAGAAAACTTGAATTTCTGGCATTGTTGATAAAGGGAAGAATTTCAGAACAGTCTAGTTGAAGTTATGTATGTGGAGAGAGCTACTGTTCCCTGGTTTCTTAAATCCACAAATATTTAATAAGATCCTTTAAGGCGCTTCTTGGAATTGAAGATAACATTGAAATATAAAGCAGTGATTGGAAAGCAGTGTTTCTATGGAAAGAACTGTTAGACAGGGAGCCAATGGCCCTGGTTTCGATTTGGGAAGGACCACTAATGAGCATGGTGGACCAGTTCCTGGACTTAAACAACTATGACTGGGTCACCGGCATGTGCCTGGTTCTGAATGAGGTACTTTGCTGTTTTTATTTTGGGAGGGGAAGGGCATTGAGGGGAGGTTGGACCACATCCAAATGCACTTTGGGCTTACTCTTAGTTCTGTGCTCAGGGGATACCCCTGATGGGGCTCAGGAGACCATAGGCATTACTAGGGATTGACCTGGGTTGGCAGCGTGCAAGGCATGCACCTTACTTGCTGTCCCACCTCTGATGCCTTAAAGGAGACATAGCATTTTTTCACCTGCCTTATTTTGGACCCACACAGAAATTTATTCTCCAGGTGCCTATTTTGTGTATTTATTTCAAAAGGAAAGGGTTTACAGTAGTCAGGTTGGGACTGGAGCGATAGTACAGGGGTAGGGCATTTGCCTTGCACATGGCCGACCCGGGTTTGCTCCCCGGCATCCCATATGGTGCCCCAAGCACCACCAGGAGTAATTCCTGAGTACAGAGCAGAGAAAGGAGTAACTCCCGAGCATCACTGGGTGTGACCCAAAAAGCCAAAAAAAAAAAAAAGTAGTCAGGTCCAGAAAAAAAAAAGTGGTCAGGGCTTGAGGGTGCGATCCAGAAAGTAGTGGAGCCTGAACTCAGACCTATGTTTTTCTCAACCTGTGCTCCTGTTCCTCCCGTGCACCTTCATGAAGGCATCTCTGGCCTCTTTTTAGGAATCTGCAAACTGGGACAGAAGAAGAAACCTCTTGGGATCTAAAGAGTTACCTTCAGGGTCCCCTGAGCACCACCAAGGGTGCTATCTGAGCACAGAACAACGGATCTGGCTTTTATAACATTTTTCACCTTATGACTTCTATCTTTGGGAAGAAAAGAGAACAAGACTGACTTAAAAAGTCTTGTAGAGTGTGCCAGTGGGAAGTTCGCGCCTCCTGAGTTCCCAGCTGCCCTCACCACTCACTGCAGGCAAGTTATGTCCTCTCTGAGCCTCCGTTTTCTCACCTAAAGCCTTCCTTCCTTCCTTCCTTCCTTCCTTCCTTCCTTCCTTCCTTCCTTCCTTCCTTCCTTCCTTCCTTCTTTCCTTCCTTCCTTCCTTCCATTTCCCATCCCCCACCCTGCCCCAGTTTTCCAGGCATGCCACTTTTCCTCACAGAAAATAATTTCCCAAGACAAGAAGTAAAATGAAAGTTATATTAAGAGAAACATGGGGCTCAGGGGTGGGCAGTGAGGGAGAGAGAGGGAAGGAAATGAACATGGACTTCTCCAAGGAGGGAAAGACGTGAGTAGAGATACAGGTGAATCTCCAGAATGGAGAACATACCATTGCTTGTGTTTAGATTTTAAATAAACAGAATCATTCAGAATGAACCCTTTCATGGCAGATTTTTTCACTACTATGAGGTTTATTCATATTATTATTTAATATCTCAGCATAGAGATATATCACAATATAGTTCTTTTTCTCACATTTTTTTTCATTTATAGGTGCCATGCCCAGTTCTGGAGAGTGGGGGGACTCAGGAATCCCCCTGGAAATGCTCTGCCTGACGGTGCTCTGGCCTGGTGTGCTGGGGGAGGGAGGTATGCCATGGAGAGTCATGCACTCTGCCTCTTGTGCTCTCTCCCCAGTGCTTCATCTGCAAACAGGGATGGGTATTTGGGCAGTTTCCAGTTTTCAGTCACAGCCGTAAGGAATTAAAGGGTGAGCAAGTGCCCTGCCCACTGTACTACCTCTCTGCACTGCCCCCTCCCCCATTTTAAAAGAATATTCAAAGTACAAACTATCTGGGTGGATTCCTGGAGAAATCTGAGAGTCCCAACTGTGTGGGACTGTGAGTCCCTCTTCTATAGAGGACAGAGGGGGACAGTCCAATGGAATTGCCCAGTGACCTCCAAATAGCATTGCTCAATGACCTCCTAATGGCTCCGTTACTCCAAGCCACCCAGGTTCCCATAGTCATATGACCTGCCCCAAATTCTACTTCTATCCTCTCATCTCCATCCACTGCCCCAAATGTCCTCACAGAGAGACCCTTCTCTAAACTCAACCATACTTCCCAGTCAGTCCCGCGTTGTATATTTATCTACATGCTGGCCTTGCATTGGATGCTATTTTGTATATTCGTCCATCCATGTAATAAAAACTGAATGAATGCCTACACCTTGATGATATTCCTTTAGAGTTTGTAATTGGAGAATTGACACACTTAACCTTCATGAAGGTAACATTTTAGTAGGAAGAGATATATAATAAACAAGAAAAAGTTAGTGGTGAGAAGACCTATGGAGAAAAATAAAGCAGCACATATGCTGCCTGAGCCCATGTGCTGCTTGCAACTACATGGCAGAGCACATGTGGTGCCCGAGCACATGTGTCGCCCGCGTCTCCCCTCTTGAGATGAGTACTTTCATGCTTTCGTGTCTAATGTTAGGATGTGTGTAGGGGCTCTCTCTCCGTCCTTGGAGAAATCTGTGTTCTCTCTTGAGTACGTTACTCTCACTCTCCCCCTCCACACCTTAAAAATCCTCAAAATAAAATCTATTTATTTCATTGCAAAAGAAAGAAAGAAGGAAGGAAGGAAGGAAGGAAGGAAGGAAGGAAGGAAGGAAGGAAAGAAAGAAAGAAAGAAAGAAAGAAAGAAAGAAAGAAAGAAAGAAAGAAAGAAAGAAAAAGCAATGCAGGGCTAAAGTGATAGTACAGCAGGGTAGGGCTCCTTCCTTGCTCACAGCTGACCCAGTTTCAATCCCCAACATCCCAAATAGTCCCCTGTGAACCACCAGAGGTAATTGCTGAGTGCAGAGCCAAGAGTAAACCCTGAGCACTGCTGGCTATAGCCCCCAAAAGAAAAAAAAAGGAAAATAAAGCAATGCAAGGAAGTAAGAATGTGGTGAGAGAGAAACTTGCTATTTTATAAGGACCGGTCAGAGAGGGGGGCAATACAGACAAGGTGTAGATTGTGCTGTTTATTTTTGGTTTGGGGCCACATCTTGGGATGTTGGGGGTTACTGGTTGCTTGGTGCTCAGTGGTTGCTCCTGGCAGGGTTTGGGGAATCAAGCAATATCAAGGATGGGTGACCCAGCATGCAAAGCATGTGCTTCCACCAACTGAGCTGTCTCTCCAGCCCCAGACTTATTTCCAACCACCTTTCTGGCAACAATGTTGGAAATCAAGGTGAAAGGAGAGAGATGGGTTGAGAGACTGGTCCTCATCTCAAGAGCCCAAGCAAGAAATGATAGTGAGTCAGACTGCAGGAAAGGGAGAGGCAGGGGTGAGAAATGCCTGCTTACAGCAATATCCCAAAGGTGGGGTTGACAAGGTTTGCTGATGAATTGGCCATAGAACATGAGGAGGGAATCAGAATTGCCTGGCTTCTGCCTGTTTTGCAAATATAGCAGAGGAGAATCATTGCAGAGCTGAAGCTCCATGGACAGAGCAAGTGGATTTCACTCCCATGGTGGTGTGCATTCAACTCAGGGCTCTCTATCAAGCAACCACCTCGTTCCTACCCAAAACTCTATGTGAAAGACTGTTCTTTCTGTCTCTGAGTTAGTCTGATGTCAGTATTAAGACAAGTCATTGAATTCCCACACCAATCCTAGCTTTGTCACTCACCAGCAGTGTGTCCTCAGGCAAGTTACTTCACCTCTCCAAAACTCAATTGACTTAACATAGAGGCCAATACCATATACCAAGTCGGGGTTTAGGAAATACCTAACCTAAAGCAGGTCAGTTAAAACAAGCAGACAGGAGGCCAGAGAAATAGTACCTTGGGTAAAGGTGCTTTCCTTGCAGGAGACAGAACAAGGCTTGATTCCCGGGAATCCATATGGTCTCTGGAGTACCTCCAGGAGTGATACCTGAGCACAAATCTGGGTGTAGCCCCCAAACAAAACCAAAACAAACAAGCAAAAAAAACTCAAGCAGATATAAGAATATGGAGTAAGGGTTATCTTTATTTGGATTGCAAAGTATAAATATGAACCAGGTTTGAAAATACAGTTGGTAACAATTCAAAAATTTCCAGAAGGGACCATGACAGCACATCTTTGCATTGGGGTGGGGGAGGTGAGTGCATCTACACACAGAAGCCTTCCCTCACCTCCAACTTTTTCTGTAGTAATTGGGTAAGTTATCAATACCAAGAACAGTCAGTGCCAATGTTGCCTGTTCCTCCTCAGCCTTGTTCTTTGCTAACACCTTCTCTAAAATGCACCTCTGCTGCGCTGACCCCTGCATGGAGTAGCACCAGAAGAACGACAGGAATAAGAGAAATGTCTTGACACAAGGGAAAACGAGTTCACACTCGGTGGGTTGGGGTCATGGGGAGCAAGGGGAGAGGAAGGCTTGCAGGTGTGGAAGCCCAATCTCTTTCAAGATTTGGCTGGGCAAGGACACAGGGCAACACTGATAAGTCACACTTTGACACCAGCACCTTGGCTTTCAAAACACAAACAGTAGACAAAATCATCTAGGCATGACTGCAGTCCAACTCACAGAGTGGACCTGACCAAGTTAACGCCTACACCCTGGCCATACAGAACTCCCGCTGCGACACTCTAGTCATGGAAGATCTTCAGAAACATGGAGAGATGACAGATCACTACAGACGGGCACAGAGTCACCGCAGATTTGGGATGGAGGAGTGTGATACTAACCAGATGGGGAGAGAGGGGATGTCGGGGTGGTGGGCCAGGACATTGCCAACGTAACAGTCGAGGCACTTGAAATATTATTGTTAGATTGTTAAAAACTAAATAAATTAACATACATAAAATAAATATATAATTTAAGAGGCATAAACAAACAAACAAACAAACATAGTTGTTATTTTTTTTCCTATCTGGGTAGAAATCCCCAAATTCAGAGTTCTCCGGCTTGTGGTATTTCACAGTTAGCTCATCAAATCCAGAGCTGGAGGGTCCAAGTAACACATCCCTTGGTAGCTACTTGAGTACATGGCTTCTTGCTCTTTGTTATTTTCTCCCAATATACCTTTCTTTCCTTCTCTCTTCTTCTTCTTCTTTTTCTTCCCCCTCTTCCTCTACTTCTTCTTTCAGTCAAAGATCCTGGAGCATATGGAATTTAACTGGCATTTCAATCCAGAAGATAAGTGTTTAAACAAACTTATGGGGGTGGGGGAAACTTGGGGTTTGGTGGAGGAGGATCAGACGGGCACTTAAGGCCTCTCTTCTCTGCTTTCTTCTGACCCAGAGCCTCTTGGGTATGTTTTGTTCAACCTGAGAGGGCTCTGGATTTTGGCAAGCCATCATGGGAGACCCCGCCTAGCTATCAAAAGGGGCTTCATGGCTGGTGGTGAAGTCCTTCCTCTCTTCTGAGTCTCTAATGAACCCGTGTCTTCTCAGAAGTAGCTGTCCCAGACGATTCTGAAGCACAGAAGAAGGCGTGTCAAGCCTAGTCTGTTCATAAGAGGCCTTAAGAGCGTTCAGTTCTGGGCCTGCCCTCAGGAACGTTATCTCACTTGCTGGTCTCAATGCTTCTTTGCTTGCTTTATTTCCATGTTGGAGAAGTCTGCGTTCTCTCGAGGACCCAAACTTCTCTCTTTCTCTCCCCTCACATCTTCCTAAACAAGTTTCAATAAAAACTACCTTGCTTCACCAATTAAAAAAAAAAAAAACAGAACAAGAGTCTTCACGTCCAAGTTTAAAAGATGGAAAGATCATCTGGAAAGAGGTGGGAAGGAGCAGATGAGGCTGGAGATCTCAGGCATCTTTCTCTGTAGCTCTTAGCGACTTTCACTCGAAGTGGACATGAAGCACCGTCAACCTCTTCAAAAATGTTCCGCAGCCGGACCCACACTGCACTGGGGCCCCTCTGCTAGCCTCTCAGTCCAGAGACGATTTCAGCATGTCTTGAAACAGATCCAGGAAAGGTGATGATGGTACTCCTGGGTCAAGGGTGGCCCTTCACCATGGACGCAGGTCTCTCTCAGTGAGAAGTGGTCATGCCCAACTTCACTTTCTCTTCATTTTCCACATCGTAACCTCCTCGCCTGTGGTACCTGAGGAAGACAGGTCCTGTGAGCAAATCCTTGCCTATGACAGGACATAGGATAAGTTCTTTAAAAAAAAAATAAATTCAATCACGTGATTTCTTCCATTAGTTAAAAAACTGGGAGAATATGGCAGGCCAACAGAGCTCCCATCTAAGCCCAAGTGTTCCGAGATGCCTGCCATTGACAGCAGGCTATGATGTGTTAAAAACTTGGACCAGAGAAACAGTATAGGGGCTAAGGCACTTGTCTTGCTTGCAGTTGACAAGTTCTGGTTCTATCTCTGGCACTACATCTGGTCCCCTGAGCACTGCCAGGAGTGATCCCTGAGCAGAGTAAGCCCCCAAACCAAAAACAACAAAGAACTTTCACCTCATTTGACACATTCTCTCAACATCCTTATGAGGTAAGTAAACAAATATTAAAATCACTGAAAGAGGAGCCGGAGGGATAGGTACAGTCGGCAGGCTGACCCAGGGTCGGCTCAATCCCCGCCATCCCACATGGTCCCCCAAGCACCACCAGGAGTGATTCCTGAGCACTGGAGGTCAGGTGCCCAGTGCTCACAAGCTTTACCAAGAACACCGTCTCTTGACTACCACACCACATACTATTCAAGAACAAGGGAGAAGAGACCGTGGGGCTCCACGGGCAGGTGATGGGGTTGTGAGAAGCAGGACTCTCTGTGCTCTCGCAAATTTGATCTGGGGTCCCAGATATTTGATTCAGGGCATTGTTCTGACTGAGAAACCAGATTCCTGAAGACTCTGCAGCCGGGGACGCCAATCAGACCCCTTGCCTGGATTTAGGGGGATGAAGAGTTCATGCGGTCACCAAGCTGGGAGACTCAGGAGAAACAGCCATGGAAGCAATTAGCCTGCAGGGGTCTCCCAGCGCACCTGAACATGAGAAGTCCCACGATGACAAGCAGACAGACAGATGACAGTACCACCGCCACCACGGCCAGGATCGTTGTGTGGTCGTATGAATACAACGGATTCTCCACTGGGAGACTCAGCCCGTGACACCTCTCTCCGTGGTAACCTAGGTGGCAGCTGGTTTGAGATAGAACAAAGAGGAAAGAGGAGATGAAGTTAGTGGTTTGACTGCTAATGCTTGGCAACAGTATATCAATGCTGTCATTCCCCACTCCTCAAGCCCTCAGCTACAGGCCCCTGACCAAGATCCTGACCCCCACTCTATTATGCTTTAGTTGAAGACACTTTCAAAAGCCCCTCAGCGAGGACAGAGAAATAATTCAGGGGTGAGATGCTTGCTTTGCACATGGTCTGGTTGCATCCTCAACACCCCCCTAGGATGCCCTGAGTCCCACCAAGAATGATCCCTGAGCATAGAACCATGAGTAATGCCTGAGCACCATCAGGTTTGGTCCCAAAATTCAAAAAATAAAAATGAAAGTCCCTTGGAAGGTTCTGCAGCCTCCCTACCTCATCCCATGCCTCCATGCCCTTCCCTTCTCCACTCTTACTGCTTCTCTGGCCTGTAATTCCTGCCCCAGGCAGGGAGGACTGTGAAGTCTCAACTAAAAACGTTCTGTGTGTACATAACGTGTGATGTGTGTGTTAGACCTTCTGTCTAAGCCCGTTGAGAGGATCAGGGCACAGGGCTAGTGGCTGCGCTGACAGGACTACATATCATTCCCTCTAGTGAGGCCCCTCAGCACTGTGACCAGAAATAAACGCAGCCTTCCCCATCAATGCTTCCAGCGTCTGCCCTGCCTATTAATAGGCCTGTTCCTTTGCCAGGAGTCATTTTTCTCAAGTTCGCTTCATTGAACTTCCAGTTTCCTCTGGGTGCAGCCCAGGAGCTTCACTTGGAACCTTTGGTCTCTGAACCCTGGGCCTCTTTACCACAGGACAAAGCCAGATAACATCTACCATTGCATGGAAGAATGTCAGAAACAACCCTTTGGCTCTTCTCACTCAATAAATAAATCAGAGGGCGGCTGCCTCTTCTAACACAAAGCACTTCCTGCCAGCTCCTCAGAAGACTGGAAGTGAGGTGCTTATGGTTGGACAGGCACGTGCACATTCCCTCCTTTATCTGAGTCCCCCAGAGGCCCTTTGATGTAGGCAGGGAACCCCATTACAGAGAAGCTGAGTGGTTTCCCCAAGCTCATAAGAAGTGCGGAGATGTGAAATGGATAGTCTGATGCCCACTGTGGGGGTGGAGGTGGGGGGCTCCCCTCAGGTCCCATGATAGCCTGCCCCAATCAGGGGAGCAGAGGCGCTATAAGCCAGGCACTCGCACCCACAAATAGAGTCCTAGGAAACTAATGGCCCTCAATCCACAGCTTCACCTCCTCAGGGAGGGAGCTGGACACTGGCCTCGCAGCAAGAGCTCAGGGAGGTGGACCTGACCAGACCTGGCCGTGCTGAGTCCTCCCAGCCCCTCCTCAGCTACTCCGGCTCCTGTTAGCTGCTCTGGGGAACCGCCTCACGCAGCATGCACAGGCCAAGTCCAGCCTCCCGTGCACCTGTGCCTCCAGCCCAGGATGAAGTTCTGGGAGCTTCCCTGAGAAATCCCTGGTGCACAGCACTTTATCGTTTACAAGACACGGTCCTCATAGAGTAGTGCGGGCGAGATCATCTGAAATAATCTTAACAAACATTAAAGACTTACTATCAGCCAAGTGCTTTGTTGAATAGTTTTATAAAGATCATTTCATTAATCTTAAAATTATCTCTATAGAGCCGGAGTGATAGTACAGTGGGTAGGGCATTGGGCATTTGTCTTGCATGTGGTCAACTCAGGTTCAATCCCCGGCTTCCCATATTGGCGCGAGTGCCTGCCAGGACTAATTCCTGAGTGCAGAGCCTTGAGTAACTCCTGAGCTTGCTGGGTGTGACCCAAAAAGAAAAAAAAAATCTAAAGGAACTTGAGAGCTAGTATGGGAGCTAAAGCACTTGCCTTTGCATATGGTGACCCCCCCCCCGCCACTTCAATCCCCATATTTTTTACTTATTGTTTTATTTTTTCCATGCTAGGGCTGGAACCCAGGACCTCATATATTAAGTCCTGTGCTCTGCCCCCACGCCACATCCCAGCTCTCTCCCCACTATAAAGATGTGGACACTGGGCGTCAGTTGCTGTTGGATAAGGTGCTGGGTGGCACAGAAATGGGAGGCAGCGCCAGGATTCCACCCAGCAGTCTGGATGACTCCCAAAACTGCTCTCCTGGCAGGGGAGGGAAAACGAGGTTGAGCCTGTTTTTCACTCCCAGCCCATCCTTCAAACCCCTCAGGTAGTTACTCAGATGATAGAAATAAAGCTTGGCCTCAGAGTCCCGCAATTCAGTTACATAATCCCTCCACCGCCACCCTGAGTCAAAAAGATAATAATGTAAACATCCTAATATTACCCCTTCCCCTCCCTTTCCAGACGACTCTGGCTTCCCCAGGGAAGGAGGGGGATGAGGACATTCCAAGCATCCCAGGACTGGGGGGGCAAGATCGTGTATCTAGCCTGGAACCAGACCCATCAAATGGGGACACGTTCCCCTAATATGTCTGTGACCCAATTCACAGCGTCGCTGACAAGCAGAGCACAAATGCGTCTGAATCCCCGGACAGCTTCTGAGCTGGGCTTCTCTGCCCCGCCTTCCAGGATGTGGAAGGGCCGCCATCTGATGGCAAGGGCTCTGAAAACCCGGGCTCCACACTGGTTCCGCGACTATTCCTAGCCAAGTGGTCCTGCACAAGGTACTTTTATCTTCCCAAGGTTTGGTTTCCTCGAGCGAAGCACAGGAGTAAGACCTGTCTGCCTCACTGTGCCACTGTGGAGATCCAGGGAAATGACAGAGAGAGAAGCACATGATCCAAGGCTGAGCCTGACCCACAGTGAGTTATTACATAACCCAATACTACAGACATTGCTCCTAGTCTGAAGACCATGGCACCAAAGGAGCCCAAGAGAAAGGGGCCGGCCCGGCTTTCTGGCATCTGGGCAGTGCCCACAAGTGGACTTTCTCTTTGCCAGGTCTGAGGCTGCTCAGTCCAGCTGCCCCCATCTTTCCTGCAACCACAGGAAACTTTGTAGCCAATTGCCTAGGTCAGCAGCCAACCAGGAGCCCCAGGAAACTGCTCCTTGAGGGCAACTTTTGGCTGGTGACACAAAAGGGTTTTCCCGTGGACAGTGGCTGCAGAGAGTTGCGTTCCGGAAGCCAGCGAGCCTCACACTCACGGAGGCAACCCCGACACACCCTGGCTGACGGTTCCTGGGGCTGGCGGCATGAAAGAGCCACAAAAGGCTACAGAGACGGATGCCCAGATGCCTCATTTCTCCCAACCAGGAGCCCTCTGTTTCCTTGCCATCTTCAGCCATGAGTACAAAGCCTGAAGGCAAGAGGGAACCCCACCAGACAGAGCCCAGCCCCGCTGACACTCTGCCAGATATAGTACTACACTTGCAGGCTGCTAGAATTCTTAAGATCCCGCATGGTAACTCCCGCCTTCTAGAAATCTTGCTCACTCTCTAAAGTCAGGAACAGGGACGGCCCCATGCCACAGAGGGGCCTAAAGCACACAGACCCAGCACTGGGGCCATGGTCTGGTTCCATCCACTTGCTTAGCTCTTCAGGTGAGTCACCTATTTCCAGCTCCAGTTTCCTCTTTCAGGTTCAGAGAGCAAGACCTATGGCCCAGCCCACCCAGCGCAGAGTAACTGAGACACGGAAATTATGGCTCACATAATACTGGGTTCGACTCACATGAAATGCAAATTGTGAGGCTTCCTCACTATCCCCAGGGCCAGCTGGGGCCGTGGTAATGGAGTTGGTCCAGTCCCACTCTACAGAGAGCAGTCCCTAAGCACTGTCTCTGAGCTGTCCCGCACCAACATCTGGGGCTGGTTTGGCCCAGACAGGTCCCTGGCTTAACTCCAGCCTGACTGTCCTCAGAATCACTGTTCCCACCCAGTGCGAATGATGCTCTTCTATAAATTTAAGACAGACACTTCCTGGCCTGTTCCCAAGACTTTGAAAAGGTAATGTAGGGTTTCTATGACATTCTTAAGCAATCCTGCCTAATACCAGTGACAAGGGTGTTCTAAAAGGAATAGATAAGTGACCATGGCAATCGATAGGCCTCTACCAATTACAGGGAACTGTGCTATGGAGCACCAATGAAGAAAACAGAAAGATTTAAAAAGCCAAGGGATCTTAGGGAGAGGTAGATGAGTATGTTGATGATGGGTGTGGTGTTGGAATTATGTGTATGAAAAACCACTATTAACAGAATTGTTAGTCATGGAATTTCAATCAATCAATATAAATATGTATATATATGTATACATATATATTTATGTAATTTTTAAAGCCAAGAAATCTGTCCCAATGACACTAACGATGTCAGGCTGCTGGCCTCTTGGGCCTGGTGAAAATCAGGATGCACCCAATCATCTCTTGCCCTGATGCACAGCCTCCCGCGCCACCCCAGCGGAAGCATGTACATGTTTGCAGTCAGACATGGGTGTTGGCCTCCGCACACTGGCAACTTTATGCCTTCCAGAGAGCATGGCAGTTCCGTCATCCCGGAGGGGTTGCCAAGGCCGGTGTTTGCTGGGCTTGGCCTGGCTGAGCAGCTGGGAAACCCACAGCCCTGCCACCCACACCCCGGCCCAAGGAAAGGGCGGTGCTGCTGACGGGGGGCTGATGCCTGCTGCTCAGGCTCCATTTCCGTCAATCTTGCACAAGGAACGTGTCCTCACTCCAGTGACCGAAGTTCCTGCCCTTTCTGTTCCCCCCCTCCTGGAACTTGCCAGAAAGAGGAAGAGAGGCTTCCCCCTTCTCCCGTGATAAGGGAGAAGAGTCAAGAGTTTTCCAGCGTGGGGATAGTGCCTCCACCTGGGGTGTGAGGGGGGTGGAATAATCCAATGGGGAAGCAGCAGCCTTGGGAGCAACCAGGAGTCTCTTTCTGTTTGTTCCCTTAAAAAAGGCAGAGTTGAGGCTGAAGGATAGTACAGTGGATAGGGAGCTTGCCTTGTAGGTGGCTGACCCGGGAGCAATCCCCAGCACCCTGTGGTCCTCAACAGGAGTGATCCCTGAGTGCAGAGCCTTGAGCATTGCCAGGGGTGGCCCAGAAGCAAAAACAGAAAAAAGAAGGAAGATTTCAAAGGGATGTGGAGTACTTTTGTCTGAAATGAGGCCAAATAATTCTGGGATCTTCTGCCTTATATCAACCTGCATTTGCTCCTCAGGTGCAAGTATTCTTGCAGAGCATGAGAACAGAAACCCCTCAGACCTGCCATTGGTGTCCCTGCACCCAGGAAGCCCACTCTGCCAGATTCCTGGCTGGCATCTCCCAGCTGGAATCTTGCAAGAGGCTAAAATGAAGGCACCTCTCTAGGCCACTTGCTCATATCTGGGCAAGCAGGAAATATCTCCGAGGATGGAAGCGTCACAAACCCACCCAAAGGAAATGACATCCTACAGGGGCTTGGGGGGGGGGGGCAGCCCCTTCCTCTAACTAAAAATATTTTTCCTGCTCCCAACTTCCGTGCAGAGGTTGAGAAGAACTGGGTGGCATTATGAATGGAAAGAATAGTGAGAACAAACAACAGCCACGTGGCTGACCAAGGGCTCTGAGGAAGGGACACTTACATGCAGGACGGGACCCGGAGCTTCTTAACGTATTTGCATTCACCGTGGATACAGAAGTCCTTGTATTTCCGAAGACATGGGTCTCTCTTCTTCCCCAAGCCCTTGCCTTTCTTCTTTCTCTTCCCACGCTCCTCCTTGCTCGGTGTGGCCAGAGCTTGTGGTTTGGAGGAGAAGGCAGCTGCAGGAAAAGTTCCCGGTTAGTCTGAGTCTCTCAGCGGGAAGACTCAACGGGCGTCCAGATGGGATGTGAGGATGGACGCTGGGACTAAGCCTGTCCTCAGAAGCCGGGGAATTCCCAAGGGCAGAACCGCAGAAAATAAGAATCTCAGAACAAAACACAATCAAGGGTTGGGGGGGGGGGGGTGTCCCAAGATAAACATTTCACAAACTCAATTTAAAAGCCTATTTCTGGGACTGGAGCGATATGCACCCCCATACGGTTCCCTAAGCCCGCCAGGAGAGAGCCCTGAGCTCAGAGCCAGGAGTAAGTCCTGAGCACTGTTAGTTGTGCCCAAAAAAGAAAATAAAAACCCCACTCATACAAAAAAGCCTAATTCCAAGAATGCTGACTTCTTTCGAGTAACTGCAGCTGATTGGGCTGTTCCAGCAGCCTCACCCCCTCTTCCCCGTCCATCACCATCTCCTACTTCCCCTCGCCCACTTGATTCTATTTTGGCTTTAAATCAGCTTCATTTCCTGATGCTACACTCAGTGACCCACTTGCAGGAAGACAGCGTCAGAGATAAAAATTACTTCTAGGTACTTGGAGGTTGGGTTGGGTTTTTTTTTTGCAAGGGGGAGGGGAAAACCTTTAAAATAAGAATAGCACTTTGCATATTTGAAAGTGGCAAGGAGAGGAAATCTTCAAAGTTCTCATCACAAGGGGAAAAATGTGTTACTATGTATGGCGATGAATACTAACCAGACTTACTGCTGTGATCGTTTCATAATACCATAATACATATAGTGAATCCTGTAGCATACCTGAAACTCATGTGATGTTTATGTCAATTGACCTCAGTGAAAAAAAAAGGGGGGGGTGCCCATGTCCATATGATCTCTCTGATGACAACAGAGCAGTCAAACTCAAAGAAATGAGCATCCAGCTAGAGCTTTGCTGCTCGGACTTCACGCACAGGACTGACCTCACTCTGTAAAGAAACGGGTAAGCCCTGGGCAGCTTATCTCTATCAAAGCTCTACTTACATTTATGCTCAAATGTTTATTTAGTCCTTTCTAGGATGGGGAGTACAGGGCACATAAGGTAGAGAATTGGAAAGCAAAAGGAGGAAGGAACTTGGAAGGATCCAGAAGGAACTAGAACAATTGTGACACCTCCCATTCTTTCCATACTTTGAAGGGGAAAAAACTTCACACATTTAACCTGGACTGACCATGGGCAATGCCCATCAGCCCAGGGAGCTGGTCTCAGTTCCCACCACTCGTCTCCAGCAGAAAACAGGTACCCACTGCCCATGGCTCTATCCCCATGGCTGGCAGAAGGTGGGGGGTGGGGCACAGCAGATACTCGACTGGATACTGGGAATCCTTAAGCTGGATGGAAGCAACTCAAAGAACATCATCATCCCTTTCCATCTTCAGATGAAAAACTTGGGGTCCCAAAAGATGGAGTTGGGGTCAGGGAAATAGCTCAAAGGGCTAGTGTACATGCTTTGCATCCCAGCGGCCTGGGCTTAATCCACAGCACTGTCTGGTCCCCAGAGCACCACCAGAATTGGTGCCCGAGCACTGAGTCAAGAGTAGCTCCTGCGCATCACTGTGTATCGCCCCCAAAAACAAACTAAACAAAAGGCAGAGTCACTTGCCCGAGATCAGGCAGAGCTGGGGCTAGAACCATGGTCTCTGGACTCTCTGTCCAGTACAATATTCCCCATAGGTCATGTCACCTATACAGCCCTGGCCCTTCCCTGACAGCTCTAATGCACCTGGGATGCTAAGCCAAGAGCAAGACAATGAGCAGGCTCGGGAGTCAGCAGACCTGTGCTCCAATTTCGGCCATGTGATCCAGCATATTGCTCAATCTCTCTGAACCCTGGGTTTCTCGGTAAAACATGGAGAGTAAGGGATCCAGTTTCAGAGCGGCGCTATAAGGATTAAATGAACCACGATAATATGGCAAGTGCCTAGAACACGTCGGCACATAAAAAAACTGGTAAGAGTTATTTATTTTAGATGATAGCATCTCTAGACCCAAAAAATAGTCCTAGGGCAGCAAAGCCAAGAGGAGCGAAAACCAGCAGGTGCCAAGATTCCCAGGCCTGGCTTCCTCTGGTGGAGATCGGACTCCTACAGAGCTCAGAAAGGGAGGTGAGAGCGCAGAGGAGCCCGTGGCCAAAGTGTAGTAAAACTCAAGCAGGCAGGCCCTGCCAGGGAGAGAGTGACAGGGTGACAGCCAGGCTCCTGCCCAGGAGAGGAACAGTGAGTCAGGTCTGCAGAGGTATGGGGAGCAGCCATGTGGGCGGGGAGTGAGTCACAGCCCCACTCTGCCCAGCCGAGGAGCGGGCCAGGGGAATCCAGGTTGTTCAGGCCACGAGCGCCCCACAGGGCCACTGTGAGAGGGAGAGTCAGTTCCACAGCAGACCCCTGGCTTAGGCAAAGCAGAGACGGCACCCAAGGGAAGTCTCTGCTGTGATTTCCACCAGAGTCTTCCGGAAGGAGGAACTGGCCTGGAGCCGGGGCATGGCTTCAGCCAAGCAGAATCGTTCAGGCTCCGGGACTCAGACACCCGTGACTAGGTGCTGAGAAGCCAGCGGTGCGGGAGGCCCTGGACTCTGCCCTGGACCCGACTCAGCCTCACTGCAGCCTGGAGGATCCCACCAGGCCCTTCCCGCCCAGGAGTCTCTCCTGGGTAGTGTCTGGGCACATGCACACGCTCACGCTCACTGCCTCCAGGACCATCAGGTGTCTCCTAGGGAGACCAAGACCTCCTCATGCACTCTATGGGATGGAAGAAACTAACTGTAGGTCATGGGAGGGCCCGGCATCTCCGCATCAGCTACTTCACACACAAGCGTCCTTCCAGGTGGAAATCAGGACTTTCACATAGTGACTCAAGGAATGGAGCCGGAGAGATAGTCTAAGACTTAAGACACTTGCTTGCCCTGCTCACAGCTGATCTGGGTTCAACCTCCAGTACAGAAATGGTACCCAGGGCCCCACCAGAAGTGACCCTTAAGCACAGAGCCGGGAGTAATCCCTGAGCAGCATTGAGGTGCCCCAAAACCAAAAAGAAACACGCGAGAGAAAGCATCTCCACACTTACTCGCATCACCCAGCTCACCCGAGAATGATGGAAGTCCCCCAGACGATGTATCAGTCTCAATGTGCCCTGCAAGCACCCAGCTTCAGAACAGCTCAGCCTCTGAGACCCCCACCAAGGGTAAGAGAGAAAGTGGGGTCCATATTTCAGGTTCCCGGGGACACTTGTGGGGTGAAGCAGCTGTTACTCAAGGTTCTCCCGGAATACCCACACCCAACAGGTGTGCCCGGACAGCGGGAACCCCGGATCCGCTCAGTCTTCAACTGCTGCCCAGGGTCCGAGGAGGGGCGCCCTCTTACCTCTGAAAAGGTCCAAATCTGCCTCTTGCATGTTCACGACTTCTCGGCCTCGGCCGCCTCCCGGGGGCAGCAGCTGGTCCGTTGATTCCGTGGGAGAGTCCAGGTTGCCGGTTCCAGTCGCCAGCCCTCGCCGAAGCCGCTCCAGGCTGTCGCCGGTCACCAGCGCCGAGAGCGCTGCGGGGGTGGAGCGAGGCCGCTTGAGACCCCCGCCGGCCCAGACCTTCGGCGATCAGCACCGCGGCGGGCGCCGTCAGCCAGAGAGCGCGGGCCCCACCAAGTGGTCCGCGTCGGGGGCGCCACAGCGACCTTCCCTCCCCCAGACCCGCCTTTACTCCCCCCACCTCCGAGCACCGCGGCCCCCTGCCCCCAGCCCCCGCCCGCTCACCTGCGGCCAGAAAGACCTTCAGCACCACCGACGGCAGCAGCTTCATGGTCTCGGCGCCAGCGACAAGGCAGCAGGCACTTCGGAGGCGGCGGCGGCGGCCCCGGGGCGCTGGCACCGGAGCCGGGGCGGAGAGAGCGCACGAGACTGCGCCGGGCACCGTGCGCGGCCGGCCTCGAGTGCTAGCCTGGCTCGGAGACGTGCGCGGGCTCGCGTTCCTTCGTGCGTCCGTCAGTCTGTCCGCTCGAGCACCCGCGCCCGGATCCGGCAGGCCAGCCGCGTGCAGCGCTCAGCACCCTCGATCTACTGAGCGCTCCAGGCGCGCGGCCCGGGAATAAGGCTCCGCCGAGTGCCCAGGCTCCGCCCCGGCCCGCGCCGCCCTCGGGCGGGAGTGGGAGGCGGGGCTCACATTTTTGGGGGCTGTCCAGAGCAAGCGCGGCGTGACTGTGGGGGGGGGGGTGCCCCACCAGCAGGTGGCCGGGCCAGGTCTACGTTTCCCCAGACGCTGTCGCGCCACAGGCTTGAAACTGCCGGGCTGACCTCTGCCCTGGGACACCCCTCATTTCTTCCCCTTCGCCAGGCTTGAGGCCGCCGGCGATCCCTGCTCCCAAACAGGGGTTCCCACCCTCGCCCTCTGCTTTTCCGGAACCCGCCGTGCCTACCTACACAAGTAGAAAATAATAATCAAGATGTTTGTTATTTAAAAATCACATGGTCTCAGGGCAGAAGCCGTAGTACAGCAGCTAGGACGATAACCTTGCACGCAGCAAACCCGGGTTCGATGACCAGCATCCCATACAGTTCCCAGGAGTTAAGCCCTGAGCACCACCGGGGGTGGGTCGAGAAAGACAACAACAACAAAAAATTAATAATAATCAGATAGTATCACGAGCCCCAAGGTTACCAGAGTGTAACCAGAGACACGATTGCAGGCACTTGGTGTCAATCCAGCAAAATGAAGGAAGTTAGTTTTTATTCTTCCAGTAATTCTGACCGGCTTCAGCGCCTGTGACCCGGCACCCATGGCGCCCTTTCTTTTCCCCCAGGCTGCGTGGGTTTGCTTTAAGATTTTGGGACTCTGAACATAACCCCCAGGTGTCTGGCGCTGTAAAACAAATTTCTTGTCGGTTTCCTTACGTTTGTCCACCAAGTTCTTCCTCCACTAAAACACCCTTTCTCCCACTTCCTCAGGACCCAGCAGGCCAGCCTGGTTGCCATATTCAGTACATCCCTGGACACTGATGTGTTTCTTCCAACTTCCAATATTTTTACTGCCATCTTCAGGAATCAATAGTCTGACCCATAACTTACTCCTTTGGTTGCTATTCCAGCGTCCTGGCACCTGCTGAGGTGAGAGCTAAAGTATACACACGTGGGTTGGCCTTCAGAGTCCCCTATTGGGGGATCAGATGTCTTGCACGCAGTCAACGTAGGTTCAATCCCAGTATCCCATATGGTCCCTGGGGCATCACCAGGAGTAATTCCTGAGCATAGAGCCAGGAGTAACTTCTGAGCATCATCAGGTATGGCCCCAAAAATAAAACAAACAAACAAACCACACACAGAGTCCACGATCAGTGCCATATAAGCCTCGAACCCCATTCTGCCTTGTGTCCCATTATGCACAGGCCTGGGATGTCCACGCCATGCCTCGCACTGTCGCCGCTGGCCTCGCATGGCACTGGCTTTGCCCTCTTCCTTTGCCCCGGCAGTACTCGCAGAGCTCACTACAATCTAAGCTGGAACCCCACCCCGGCAGCTCTCTGCACTTCTCTGGACTTGATCTTCATCTCCGGGACCCTTAGTTCCCACAGCTCACAAACAGAAGTGACAATGATGCCTACTCTCCCCAGGGGAGGGCAGATGGTTTGCAGAAAGTTTTTGGAAGATAGGACCCAGGACACAGCAAAAAACAGTGAGTACAATGCCACTAAGCACCCTGCTTACAAAACAATTCCTTCATCCCTTTCTTTGTCTTCTCTGACAGTCCTTTGATGATTGGGGTGTATGTGTGTGTGTGGGGGGGGGGGTTTCAGAATTCAACTCACACTTTTGCGACAGGTGCTTAGCCACTAGGATATCCATAGCCCCTCAGCGTTCCTTCAGGTTAGCCTTCAGACCACTGGATTCCCCTGGAGGCCTCATTCCTCTCCTTCCCCCATGGGCTGGGTGGTGGTTTCAGGCGGAAATTTACCTGTCACCTACTTGGCTAAGTGCCACGGTGTGATTGCTTCTTTGAAGTGATTCGTGTTCGCCTAGGCCACACCTTTGTCTTCCCTCAGAGCTGCCTGATCATCTATATCCCCAAAGCCATCTTGGGGTCAGGGCTCTCCCCAGGGGAGGGCAGAAGGAAACACTTCCTGACACATGGCCAAGTCACCCCACACCTTACCAGGCTCACACCCTGTTCTCGAGTCCCAGCCTGCAGCCTGCCTCTCCCTTCACAGGCACTGTCCTTCCGCCTTCTCACCCCGACATCAGCCGGGGCCCATTCACGGGGCAACTCCAGGCTTTCATCACTCCTGGAAGCCTCACCCCAGCTAATTTTGTGTGTCAGCCAGGTTTAAAGGGAAGGGCCTGGAAAAAGAAGACTGAAGTCCTAAAATAGATTTGGGGCACTCACTTCCCCTTCTCAAAACTCATAGTGTCCTCTGACCAAAAAGAAAGAGAAAAGGAAAAGAAAATTTAGGCCGGGACAACCTCAGTCACTTGTTTTCTCCACAAACATGAATAAATGCTTTTCAGGCACCAGAGACACAGCAACACACCTGGGATGTGCTTTCAAGATCCCCTTGAATGAGGAGACAGACAGCATTCAGTTACCCCAGAAAGAAAAACAGATCCTATGACAAGTGCTGAAATGAAAGATCAGGAGGCCGGAAATATAGTACAGGGGTTAAGGTGTTTGTCTTTTACACGGCGAAACCAGTTCCATCCCGAACACTGCATACGGTCCCCTAAGACCCATCCAGAGTGATTACTGAGCCCAGAGCCAGGAGTGATCCCTGAGCATTGCCAGTCCCCCCCACCCCCCCAATAAATAACTGCACTGCACTGTACTGTCCTCCCGTTGTTCATCAATTTGCTCGAGCGGGCCCAGTAATGTCTCCATTGTGAGACTTCTTGTTTCTGTGTTTGGCATATTAAATACGTCACGGGTAGCTTGCCAGGCTTTGCCGTGCGGGCGAGATACTCTTGGTAGCTTGCTGGGCTCTCTGAGAGGGGCGGAGAAATCGAACCCAGGTGGGCCAGGTTGGCAGCGCGCAAGGCAAACGCCCTACCCGCTGTGCTATTGCTCCAGCCCCACCAAATAAATAAAATATAATAAATAAAAGTTTGGAATTTTTTTTTTATTAATCAGGGGCCAGACCGGTAGTACAGCAAGTAGGGCATTTGCCTTGCACACAGCTGACCTGGATTTCTTCCCCAGTATTTCAGATGATCCCCTGAGCACCGCCAGGAGTAATTCTGAGTGCAGCACCAAGAGGAGACCCTGTGCATTGCCAGGTGTCTCCCAAAAGCAAACAAAAAAAGATTTTATTATTAATCTGAAGATGAATCCAATGCTAAGGCGAACTGGAGGTGGGATGCCTCCGAGTACATCTGCCTTACAGATAGGATGTGGCATGAGCACATCTACCAAAGTGTGCCAACCCCACTCAGCGAGCACTGAAGGGAGAGGGAGATGAAGAAAGAGGACAGCAAGTCGGGTGTTTGCCCTGTGGGCAGCAGACCCGGGTTCGATCTCCAGCACCACATATGGTCCTCTGATTGCCACTGGAGTGATCCCTGAGTGCAGAGCCAGGGGTAAGCCCGGAGCCCCGCTTGTGCACCCCCCAAAAAACAAAAACAATGCCCTCTGATTTTGAATCCTAGGGTCTGGGATGACACCTTTCATTTCTTTAATAGATATTTTAATTGAATCCCTGTGAGATATACTGTTACAAACATGTCCATGATTAAGTTTCAGTCATATAGTATTCCAACACCCATCCCTCCACCAGCGTACATTGCCCAGCACCGGTGTCCCCAGTTTGGAATGACACTCTAGAAGCAATGAATGATAAGCAAAGGGCCCTCTGAGCAAGAGACATGTCCCCTGAAGTCTGAATGAGAAGAAAGGACCAGACATAGCTATCACCATTTCAGAGAATGATGCCACACCATGCAAGAGCAGGTGGGAAGAGCTGGGGGTGTTCCGAGGGGTCCCTGGGAACAAACAGACCCTGGGTTGGTGACAGGGGCTTTCCTTCCCTCTTACCGGATCCATTCCTGTCCGCTCCCCTCCCCAGGCTTCCCACCTGCTCCCTGTTGTCAAGTGCCAGCGACGAGCTCCTCAAGAAGCTTCTCTCCACTTTCCCTGATGGCTATTGACCTTAAACAAACTGAGGCCTGGACACCTCCTGGCCCTGAGCCACCAATGAGTCAGAAGTGGGCACAGCCAGAGAGGACGCTGGCATCCTGCTGCCCAGCAACCTGTAGCTTCTAGGACTCCCGGGGACCTGGCACTGCTGACTCACCTCCTGGCCACAGTGGACCTTGACCTATGGGGCACATGCACAGAGCTATGGGGGGGGGGGCTGGGGGGTGGGGCAGGAAGGGAAAGAGCAGGCCTCAGGCAGAAAGAGCTCAGCAGGCTGAGCACGTGCTTTGCATAGGGGGGACCCAGGTTCCATCCCCCACACCACACATTCTAGCAGCAACTTCTGAGCACCGAACTAGAAGTTGCCAGAGCACCTCCTGGCATGACCCCCACGCTCCAAAAGAGAGGTCTTAGGGAGGGATCAACCTGAGTCTCTTCCCTTTCCAGCGTGGCTGGTGTGTAGAGATGAGTCAACACACTCCCCAATCGTGGCTGTGCAGCAGATGATCTGGAATTGAATCAAGACTGAGGGTGGGGGTGGGGGTGCATACCCAGCAGTGCTTAGAGGTGACACTGGGGTCTGCACTCAGGAATCACTCCTGACTACACTCAGGGGACCATATGGGATGCTGGGGAGCGAACCTAGGTTGACTGTGTACAAGGCAAATACCCTCCTCACTGTACTATCACTCCAGCCCCAAAGATTTTGATTTTAATTTTATTGTTGCTTTGGGATCACACTCGGCAGTGCTCAGGGCTTCCAGATGTACTACTGCCTCTGTTCTCAAGGATCACTTCTGGCAGACTTAAGGAAACATATGAGGTGTGAGGGATTGAACCCAGGTTGGCTGTGTACAAGGTAAATGCTCTACCCACTGTACTATTGCTCTGGTGCCATGATTCAAGATTTTTAAAAAAAATCCTCACCCACACTCAGCCCTAATTCAAACTCTCCTGGGTTGGGGCCCCAGCATTTCCACTGCGGACAGGTCTTCCTGGTATCACCTTTTGCATAATGAA